GGGGAGGTCAGGGGTGGTGTCCCGAGCGCTCGGGGTGCCTGCGGCCGCCGGAGGAGAAATGTTCCCCCTCCCGCGCCGTGTGTTCGAATTTATTCGGGCTCTTAGCTCGGATAAGTGAGCCCTGTAAAATGCCAGAAATAAACGCGTGCCTGTGGAGCGTGCTCGTCGTTTGCTTTGGGGTTTTTTGTTAGCTGTGGGGAAGCAGGTGCCGCGGAGTCACTCCTGGAGCGGCGGAGCGGGGCCTGGCTTTGCCCGAGCAGCGCCGAGTCAGGCGGCCCTCCGCAAGGGGAAGCTTGTGCTTCAGCGTTCAGCCTGCGGGTCGGGACTGCAGAGGCTTCTGTGGCGCTGCCCTGCCCCGCACTCTGTCCTCTGAAAGCACTCCGGCCTTTCTCAGCTGGGCCCAAGAAGCTTGTTTATGGATACCTTCCATCTGCGGGTTCGTCCAGGGAGACTCCAATGGTGAAAATGCCAGTATTAACATCTCGCCTTTTTTTTTTTTTTTTTTCTTAAATCCACTGGGTTAGTTAACCCACGATGGTGAATATATGCAGTATTTTGAAGTCTCACAGTTAATTTATGGGGAAAGTAAAGGGTCTGCTATGCTTACAAGTAGCAATTTTATTACAAACTAGTGCTAGAGAAGCAGTACTTGGTCATTGAATATTATATCTTGACTATGTTCTGGTGGGAGGTGGCTTTTAACTCTTTTTGAGCAAACAGGCTGAATTGGTAGTTAGGATAAGAATTATAAAGTGATTTGTAAGTTAGAATTTCTTAAAGTCTATAAAAATATCCCCCTCTACTAACTCTTATGTACATTTTTCTGGTTACTCTTTGTACTAAGAGCAGCCTTTGCTCTGTTTGTACAACGCCTGGCCTAATAACTTTCGGTGTGTGCTTTGGGCTCTTAAGTAATACTGAAGGTCTACAATTTCCAAGGCTTTTCAGGTTTTTGATTGCCTAAGTATTTTTTGAGAATGTGAATGACCTTCAGCAGCTTGCAGAATTTAATCCACCCCCCCATCTCCAAAAAAGGACTATATTTTTTTTGGTGCACCTATTTAATGAAATAATCTTGAACTTTTTTTGTGTTGTAAGACAGCTTGTAGAACAGGGTGACTAAAGTGCTCTAATTAGGTGGTTGACAGCAGCACAATAATTAGCAATGCACAGACTGTTGTCTCTGTTCTTCAAACCTAAGGTAGCACTTCTATTTAGGAGGGAACCTGAAATCTTTATCCCAAAGATGTTTGCAGGGCAACCATCCTTAAGTAATATATGTGAGGTTTTACTGCAAATTTCATGTTTATCTAGTCTCAGGCTGAATCTTAGTTGTGGGTTCTGCTGTGATACCGTTTATGGGTTTGCATGGTGTTGGTGAATGTAAAGTACCTGGAAGGCCTGTTAAGTGAGCTGTGGGTAAGATTTGCAGTGATCTGTTACCGTAATGGAATTTTATCTGAAGAAACTTGAAAATAAACCCACCTCCAGAGAGCGCGGTGTGATGGACACACAACTGCATTGTGGAGCTTATTTCTGGCTCTGTTTCTGGGTGTTTGTGCAGTGCTGCTCTAGAGTACTTCCAAATTCTCTTCTCCAAGTTCCGTATGAATTTACTGGCAAGTAAGTGATGCCAGCAAAACATCCTTAACTTTCCATATTCATCCCAAGGTTTACTTAAGTTGATTTTGCAATGTGCCTTTTGTGCTAGCTGCTGTTGAGCTAAAGACTTGGAGTCCAGGACTCTGGGAGGGTGCTCCCTGCTATACCAGCTCGCATATGTGTATTGACTTGAGATGATTTAGCTCTGCTGCAAAAGAACAAATTTGAGTCTGAATTCCAAAGTCTGTGGTAGTCACTGACTGCTGCACCTGATTCTTGCTACCATCAGGCTAGAAGTAAGGTGCATGCTTGCAGATAAATAAATAGTTTTATTCAAATCTTTGCAGAAATGGCTCAAGAAGAGATGGAAGTTGATCTCCAACCAGTGGCTGGTTACTCTGTAGAGAACCTCAGGATACTTCCCACAGAGCCGTCTGGTCACACAGCGCTGTCCTCCCATGCTGCAGTGCTTGATGATGGAGGAGGCAGTGTTACAGTTCTTCCTGCTGCTGATGCTGTTGGCATAATAAATGCTGGTACAAGGGAAGCAGCTGCTGAGCCTGACCTGCAGGTGGGTCCAGCCGGGGCTCTCAACAGACTGCAAAGGCTGCAAGGAGCTTTTGATCCGTATTGGCCAGTGCCTGTGCCACAGGTCACGCAGCGTCCACGAGTGAGGAGAGCTCGCAGGCAGCAGAGAGTTGGTGGCTCCCAGAGGACAATCAGTGCCAGGTAAAGCAGAAATGAAGTTGGGTCTGAACTACACTCTTACCAAGTCTGGCATCGGTGTAAAACTACTTTGCTTCCTGGCTTACAGAGCCCAGCTCAGCCCAGGTTTTGGCCAAGATCTGGGCAGCTCACATACCTTTTAAGCTCAATAACGGCACAGTGCTCTCTGATCTCTGCTAACAGGATCTTTGCTCTTCTTGAGTGTATCTTCCTGTTTCTTAATGTTGGAAGTGGTGGTGTTGACTTCTGAGCCCTTCTGTGCATTCCATCTTGCTTGCAGAGCTTCTGCTCGCACCATTCTCTCTGCTCTGCCAGATTCCTGTCAGTGCTTCCTGCAGCAGTGCTGACTCTTGGCAGTTCCAGCCAGCATTTAGCTCGGTGGAGCTTGTGCTCTGTTTTGCATTTCACCTTTGATTTGGGGATTGCCTGATTAGGTTTTCTGGTGACAGTTGCTGCAGAAGCTTTCACAAACATGCAAACTAGTATTTTTCTAAAAATTTTTTTTGTTACCTCTGGGCAAATAAAATAAAAATTCTGTGTTTAATACCATTTGTGATGGGTTTAAAGCGTGTTGCTCTCCAGTCAGAAAGAAATAGCCATTTCTGGTTTGTTTGGTTTTTGTCTCGTCTTTGTAGCTTTTGTAAATGTTGTGGGTGAGATTATAATTAACTGGAGCATTACCTTTAAATTCAGTGAGACCAAGAACTCCTCCCAGATGATTAAACATAACTGTACTGTTTGCCCTTGATGTGTCTGTGAAGGTCACTGGAGTTTTTGGGGCTAGAAGGCAACCTGACAGACTTCTCTTTTGAATCAGAAGGGTGATTGAGATGATAATTGAACTGATGGGGGGAGAGGGGAGGGTGTTTCTATCCAGGGTTGAAGTTCCAGTAGGAAAGAAGAAGGAAAAAGTAGTCCACGGAATGAAACTGATACAGGCCTCATGTATCTAATATTGCCAGTGGCTTTGGGAGCCAGGTCTAAGTTAGGATTCTAAGTACAGGTTAGGAGTTCTTTAGGCTATTAGCAAACAAGACATATCTTTGCTTTTCTTCTCTACAACCCACCACCACCACACTCCAAAAGAAGACATCGTTGCTGTAATGAGAAGGGAGATTTTCTTTGAGCTGACTAAAATAAATGGTCACTGTGTGATACTGCCGATTGTTTGTCGAGTGGGCAATTGTATGGGATTGCTTCTCGACCAGAGAAGGTCTGTCCTGATAACTTTGATACTTTCCTATTGCAGTCAGAGCCTAGGAATTTTACTGCAAACAAGTGTGGAGGAACATGCTGAGCCTTTAGCCTACCTGAAATAACTGGCTTTATTTCTTGCTTTTCTGGATTCAGGGCAGCATTGGACAGTTACTTTCAAGTCAGCAGGACCCAAGAGCCAGCTACAGGACCAGTTCCACATCTGGAGCGCTTGCATATTGTGAGGGACAACCAGGAACACAGCTCAGATGAAACAATAGTAGTGAGCAGCTCTGACAGCAGCTCTTCTGCTGAGGAGGAGGAAGTGGTGGAGGCTGCAGCACTGCTGTTACCGTCGGCCCAGGAGACACCTCCAGCAGCTAGCTCGGGAGGTTTGTGCTATATTTGAGCTGTGTAGAGACTTGATTTCAGAAACTCATCTTGCTGTTTCAAAACTCGGTGGGGAAATCCTTTCAAGCTTCATGACAGACGGTGCTAAGAGATCATTATGCCCACAGCTGACAGGAGCAGGTTGCTACCACAAGGCTTTTTGGCAAGCAGTTCCTGAGAGCAGAAGCAGCAATGGGGGATTGCTATCATAATGTTAAATACAGTCTTTGCTGTTTGCAGGCTGTTGCTTATAAATAATCCTGGAAATGTTCAGAATAACTTCAGGCTTAGAGATTAGTGTTTAGCACACTTCTGCTGTTATATATTATCAAGGAGTGTTACTGAACATTGTCACATCTCTGGAGATCAGCAGTGCTTTCAGAGAAGGATATGATTCAGTATTTTTTTAATTATTTGTGATTTCAGTCTACTTCAACTTAGAGTTTTCATTCCTGTAACTTCTTGTGACAGTTAGCTGAGGAAGTAGAGATACTTAGGACAGTGGGCTCTTTGTCTCTTTCTTTCCTTGGCTTTTTCTGGCTTGCAATCCTTTATCTAGACTCATGTTCACAGGCTGCCACATCACTTCAGTGACATTGTTTATGGTGAACATATGCAGTTTATGTAAGAGTGACAAGTAGTTAACTTGCTAGTCAAGGTTACTGGTGCCCAGAGAATATGAGAACAAGGTTATATTTTTACTTCAATCTCTTAAGGAATGTCCTTAGGCTTCGCTCTCTACCCTTGGTTTTGTTTTTGACTGGCTAGCCCACCTTGACACCTTTTTTGAGGCTACATAGATGAGGTGTCTTTTGAACAGATTCATTCTGCTTGCTTTGAGCTACTCTTACACGTGACAGGAGCTCAAGCTGTTCAGTGCTGTCTAATATTGTGTGAACATATGCTCTCTGTAGGGTTTTCTGGAATTCCCTTGTCTTTTTTGCTTATATAAGCCACTGGTTCCTGTTCAGCCCAGGACCACAAAGGCTGAAAACTTCATTGACATTAGCCAGGGTTAGGTGATACCTCTCTACTGGATTGAGAATACCTGCCTTGAATACTAAACGTGACTAAACTCTTTTGTTTTGTCAGGAGACTGGGGGGGGGGAGACAGTGATTTCTGCTCCTTTTTTAATATGCTAGTTGTAGTAATCTAAACTTAGGATTTCCATGTGCCCATGCTTCAACAGAAGGGCTAACAGAGGCCCACCAGGAAAACATACGCCCCAGAAGAATTGATAGTTCAGATAACTACAAGCTGGAAAACTGCTTAAGTCAGGGTGAATGGGCAGATAGCATACGGTAAATGCTTTCTTGGCGCATGAAATATGCATGCTTAGATCCCTTGGCAAAATAACTTCTCCATATTGGTGTCTGTCTTTCTCTGGGCATAATGACACAGGGTTCTATCCTTAAATCAGCCTAACTAGAGACCTGTACACAGATATATTTATTTCCAGCAGGACAGAAAATCCTGATAACAGTTGCTGTCTTTAAAAGACCTCTCCTTTTCCACTCAATATGCTGAAATTCTGCTTCTTTCTGTAAAAGTGTAGTTTTTCAGCACTACCATGGGTGAATAGAAGGGCTTATGCACAAACTGCCTGACCTTCAGATCCAGGATGCTGATCTGAAGCTTTGTGTGTAACCTGTGCAGTTGTTGCACTGCTTGCCTTATGCCCTGATGCTTTCCAATCAAGTCAAGGAGAACTCCTTTCCCCGCAATTATGTATCAGTTCATTTAAGCAATGCTTTCTTTAGTTTCCAGTCAGGTCCAAGCAGAGCCACCTCAAGCTTTGTCTCAAGCTTCTGCAGAACATGGAAGTCAAGAAGGTGAAGAGGCTGAAGTCCAGCAAAAACAGGTAAGATGACCTAAATGCTTTTGGAGACAGATTAAATATGGGGCATGCTGTATTCTTCTAAAAAAAAAAGTTGTTTGTGTGTTTATTTTTAATCCTAGAGAACTCCACTAAAGAAACTGGAACTGTCAGTTCCTGTCGCGCCACCGGATGAGGAGGAAGGGGATACCTGTGCAATCTGCTTTGAGCAGTGGACCAACGCTGGGGACCACCGTCTCTCAGCATTGCGGTGTGGACACCTGTTTGGTTACACCTGCATCGAGAGGTGGCTCAAGGGACAAGCAGGGAAGTGTCCCCAGGTAAAATGGACGCTTATGTCCACTGGAGAGGACTTGCTAGCGGGTAACTTGTGCTGCAGGTGTGCTCACTATAACTGTTACAACTGTTTGCTGCATGAAGAATCCCCTTTTGGCTGCTGTCAGCAATAACCAAAATCACCTTTATTTTGATGTAGCTAGGCCAGGAACAACTAGCACCCCATTTAAAGGGAGAATTCTGACTTGGATTTTCTCTCTGAAGTAGAACATTCGTGAGTAGCAGACTCAAAAGTTTGAGAGTTCAAGTACTAAACCTGTAATTGGTTTCAGAGCACTGCACTGTTGTCCTGGAGTATGGGAATGGCAGGCAGATTGCTAGAAGCAATTAACTAAGCATAAAGAATACGTTATTGGACAAGAAATCTGTTTGAGAACCGTTTTCAGTCAATTAATCTTCTGTTTGGAGCTTTAGCTGCTTTTGCAGCCTTTAAGCAGGTTGTTTTTAGGTAGCTCGAAGAGAGTGAACTGAGAAACTAGTTGCATCCTTTAATGTCTGTTTGCAAGTGGTATGCTTCCATTCCTTATTCCTTTTTTCCAGAAGGGAATGTTGGCAAAAAATAGGTCAATGAGTACCTTGTAAATAGGAATCAGTTCTGCCACTTTCTGAGTTGGTGGCTGGAAGCCCAGGTTTTCTTTGGCTTTGTCATTTTGAGAGCTTCCATAGTCTTACTTGACTTGTTGAGAGGAGGCAATCCTGCACAAAGAAGCTTCCTGTTGACATGCACTGTGATTAAACCTAAAGAATCACTGTTGCCATAGCAAAGGCCCAAACCTTATTTTTCTCATCCCTGTAAATTCTGTGTAAGCTTTTCTTCACCCACTCCAGGCCCAGACAGAATTCTCAGACCTTCATGGCATCTTTGCTCTTAGGAATTTTGTGACTGATTTCTTCTTGAACCCTAACAACTCCTAAGGGGTGCTTGCTCCCTCTTTTTCTTCCAGTGATGTACTTACTGAAAATTTCCTGGGAGAACTTGCTCTGGAGAGAACCTTGTAGCTAAATCATCTTCCCTTCATTTTCAGTTGCTGTCCTTCGCAACTGGGCATTCTCTGATTGAATAGCACAGAGTTGCTGTGCGTGGTGCTCTGTATACTAAGTGGCTTGAGTGCAAGTTACTGTGAAATTGCAGCATTCCTGATCCTGCCAGTGATAGCTGGTGGCTGCCAAGGAAAGCTGTCTTAGTCGCTTACTGCTCTGCAAGGCAGCTCTTGACAAAGGGAGGGGAGGTTGTCTGATCTGAAACTGTTGCCCATGATATCTTCGTGCTACTAAATAATAGAGAAGTCTGCATTTTAAGTACACATAGTAATTTAATGTTCAGCAGAGGTTACTTGATTTGAGTATTCACTGCCTCTTTTCTGAACGGCAAACTATATTTGCAAAACAGTGAGCTTGCAGATGCTGTAATTTCTTCCAAGTTCCAACTCAGGGGGAGGTATTATCCCTTCTTTTTAAGGTGAATCTAACAGCCAGATGCACAAAATTATTGAAATATCTGACTCTCCGTGTATTGCTGAAATCAGTGGGATGTCAGTGCTTCATACTGACACTGTAATGCTTTTATGAATTTGGGCCTATAGGATTTGATTAAAGGAATATAGTACGTCAATAACAGAGTTGGGAGTATGCTCAGGGGTTCCAAGATCATTGTCTGTTAGCCAAGCAGCCAGTTTTGCTAATAAGTTGGGCTGGTGTTTTCTTTTAGATCTTTTTTCCCTTTTTTTTTTTTTTTGTCCCTGAAACTTACCTGACCATGCTGTGTCACTGGTACTTTAGTAGAATAAATTTAGTGGGAAACAAGGAGATGCATTATTAAAGTTGCAGTAGGATACATGACGATTAGAGCTCTGGTGTCTATATGAGGGAGCGTCTTGCAAACGTGCTGTGTTAGTGTTTGTGGTTTTGTGGATTTGTTTTCAAGTAGACAACCCCTCCCTTCAAACTTATTGGGATTTTTCAGAATAATACCTAGCAGCTTGTAGGGGTACATAGTTTTTTATTTTGAGAGATATTTAAATGCTTGTAGATGAACCGAACTTGTCTTTTATTTCAGTGCAATAAGAAAGCAAAACGTTCTGACATTGTGATCCTGTATGCTCGCACTCTGAAAGCACTGGATACCAGTGAACAGGAGCACATGAAAAGGTACGGAGTCTCCACGCAGAGCTACGACCTCACTGATTGCATTCCACTGAAAGCTGCAGTCTGGCTTTCACCTCATGCTTTAATTGCCTGTATTGTCTAAAGCAATTTGTGCATTCTCTTGGGGATTATCACGAGTGTGGGTGGCTTAACAAACCAAGGCCTTGCTGGGTTGCATGTGTCTTACCTGTGAGAAGAATTTTCTTTTGGAACAGAATTCTTGAGCTTGTGCTTTGTGGCACTGAAGTAGCTGTATCCTGAAATGTCATCATGGGAGAACATGCAGAGTTGTTGCTAGAAAGCCCTATATTGCTAATTCATCATTCTATGAGAAGAGTGAGGCATAGTTAGAAATGCAGGGGGGGTGAATAGCTGACCTTTTCTGCCATCTTTTCTGCATGCATTAAACAGAGTAATCTCTCATGAATCACTTTCCATCGTGCTTTGTCAAACTCTTCATGTAGCTTTACTTACAAAAGGTCAGCAAGCATTACTATGACTCTACTTCCCTTTCCAACATAAAGGTAGACATTTTATTGAAAAAAGGAGAAGCGGGTATGAAAATGGGGACTAATTTCTTTTCAGTAAGATGTCACAGATATTCTGAAATTAAAAGACTGCAGATATATGAGTTCTCCTGAATCTTGTAGTGAATAGAATTTAATTGGTGTCATCTTCACATATCTCTAACTATACTGCTGTTCTTTCAGTGCAGTCTTTCAATAGAAGCCCTGCTATCCTGGTAATTATTAATCAGAAATGATTGAGGAGTAACTGTCAGGAAGGGAAAATATCTCTTCTGTCCAGATTGCCACTTCCTGATGGTGTTTGAACTGTACCTTTAGGAGGGTCACGCTTTTTTTACTGGTTTGACACTGCAAAACAAATGATGAATGGTATTTTTTTCAAAAGCACAGAAGGCATTTGGGTGTTTAAATGTTGTTATCTCTCACTGCTGCTTGTGTCTCTGAATCTCACTGCAGCCCTTCCCCACTTGCCCTACACCTCCTCTGCCTTCTGTTTTTCTTAGGAGGCAGACAGCAATGACTGCTTGTCAGTCCCGTGAAGTTGCTGGCAGCAACTGCTTTGTGGCACACGGCCACAAATGGAGGACAAATGTGAACACCAATGCAGGCATCAATATTATCTGCACATAGCCTTGAATTAGGTGTAAGATCATGGGTTTTGTTCTTCGCCTTCAGGCGCTGGGTACTTGCATAAAGGATGTGTTTACTATGGTTTAATACAGCATTTCACCTGTTTCTTCTGCAGAAAATAAAATGCATGAAGAAGCTGAAGTGAAATGACAGTGCATTGTGAACATGCAAGGCTAGGTCTGTATATTTAGAAGGTACTTAGGCAAGCTACATCTTCCTGCACATGAACTTCTGAAATAACTGGAATATTGCAGCTTTTGAAGTGCAGAATGCGATGGTCAATGTTATAGACCAAATGTACAGATAATTTTAAGGAATACTGGTGTTTCTTCCTCCTCTAACTATTCCTTCATACATAAAGCCTAAATGAAAGAAAACTTGAAGTATGTTATCAAAACTGCTGCTGCTAAATGATGTGCACTTTTAGGTTAAAGGTGAGGTATGGCTTCTATATGGGCAGTCACAGAGAACTTATCTCTATCTGTGTATTTCTGATATAGCTATATTTTCCTGAAATACAAAATTAGTTACAGGTAGTAGAAACAAGCTTGAAGATCTTGCTGTGTTGCTGACACAGTATATTACATGGACATTGATGGCAGAGAATTTGCTAAACTGTTTCTGTAGGGGTAAAAAAAAAAAGAGTTATTTCTCTTTCACTCTACTAAATTAGTACATTTGGAGAAGGTGAGGAGAAAGGCTGTTGTTTCTATGGAACAATACTTGAGTGAGTCATCTGGTACGATTTCATAACTGAGAACATCTTGAGGTAAATGTACTGGATGAGTGTGGTACCAGATTTTTCTGTAACTTACGAATTTACAGGATTGAATTGAACAGGACTTGAGTTGGGGTGAAGTCTGAAGGTAGGAATTGACAGCCCGGATAAGCATCCTAGTCCTAAGGATTGCTTTTTCTCTTGTTCCTCCAGCTCTTTAGAAAAGGAGCAAATGTTACGGAGACAGGCAGAGCTGGAATCTGCACAGAGCCGTCTCCAGTTGCAGGTTTTGACAGATGAATGCAGCAAACTCCGCAAACAAGTTCAGGTGAGTCTCATGCTACTAATACAAAGAGGATTCCCTTTCTCTTCAATCTGTGTTTTATGTATTCCCTTAGAGGAGAGAAGGTAGGCTTCCAGCTTTAATAAGCAAGATTTAGTAACAATTGGTGAATCATCAGGAATATCCTAAACATCCCAGGCTGGCATATTCATGTATACTACATAACACTGACCTCTTTTTTTTTTGTGTGTGTGTGTGTGTGTGCTTCTAAGACTTAAGCAAAGTTGCAAGTGCAGTTTAGCAGTAGAGTTTTTTTGCTGCTGTTGCAGATTCCTCCTCAGGTTTTGTGGTGACTGGAAAGGCCTTGTAATACACACCAAACTTATTCTCCCCATCTTTCTCTCAGCTGCATCAAAATGAGTTTTGAAAATACCTACAGTAAACCTGTAATGGGACCTGTTATCACTAGTTATTCAAGAGCCTTTGAGAAGTAATTTATGACAAGGTATGGCTATTTGCAAAAACAAAAGGAAACAACAAAAAAAAGCCTAATTTTTTTTTTTTTGTGAAGGTCAGTCAACGTTCTCCTTAAGCACCTTCTGGTACCATGAGACCTGGCCTGTCAGTAGGGTAGGCTGAACAGCTGCTGAGAGGCACCTCTGTCCCCTTAGAATACAAATTACTGAAAATTAATGACCAATTGCTAAATGATTTCTTCCTTTCTGGCTTATGCAATACTACAATATTTTGTAACCTAGCACAGCTGCTTTTGCAGGATTCCTGTAAATTGTGGACTCTACTTGGTGCTCTCAACTGTGAATTATCTGGCATGTTCCACCAGTGCTAGGTTTTTCAAGAGCCTGTTTCATAGCCAGTTTGCTACTCTTTTGTTGTATGAAGTAGATAATATCTAATCTCTTGCTGTCTAGCAACTCACTTGATTTTATGCTTTTTCTCTACTGGATTTTTTTTTTTTATAGCCTTGGCTATTCATGTCTGTAAATTAAGCAACATCCTCTTTGTTGAAATCTTCCTGTGTGACGTAAGATAAGGCTTTATAAATTGCTTGCCTAAATTCCTGCATGAAGCTGTATGCTCATTGGAGCAAATAAGAAAATTGGTCCACTTCAAACTCTGGCTTAAGAAAAATGTGAATAAGATAAAACTGCAGGTCCATAATGTCTTCCTGCAATTTTTTTTGGTGTTAAATGATAGAGTATCCAGCCTAACTGAATTGAAGTTGCATGTGTTAAAGATTAAGTACCCTGTGTTCTTTCAGCTCTGGTTCACTATTTATATTGCATTCATCACTGTCCTGTAGTGGTTAATGTGAATGCTGGAAGCAATTTTAAGGTGGTTGTTTACACTGTGACTAAACTGAAAGTAAAACAATTTGCTGGGGAGCAGGAAGTCTGGAATAAGTCTCTAAGGTTGTTTGATTATATTTGGAGCATATGTCTAACGAGTTCCTTGTCTTATGAGCAAAGTCATGTAGTAAAGCAACTGCTTGCATAGAATGGTTTAGGTTGGAAGGGACCCCTGGAGGTTTCTAGCCCAACTCCAGTTGGGTAACTTCAGCATTGGGCTGGGTTGCTCAGGGCGCTGTCATGCCAGGCATTGAGTGTACGCAACCAGATCTCACATCCTGTCTGGACATCCCATTGTTTGAACATCCTTACTGAGAAATTGGGGTTTTTTTCCTAGCCTCTAATCTGAACTTGCCTTGTTACATCTTCAGTCTGTTGCCCTGGTCCTTTCAGCAGGCAGTGTTACTGATGGTGTAAGAAAACACTGTTTAACTGGCGTATAAAGCTGTAAGTCAATATAGAAACCAAAGTACTGTGGGATTACAAAAGAAATGTGTGCAATGTCCGTTCACTCAGAGGGATGGTAGGTATGGCAAAGTTCAGTTGCACAGAACTTTATTGGAATAATTTTGTTGTTCATTGGTTGCGTACAAACCTTGGTGTCTGAAGTTTTAGGGAAAGCAAATGCCATCGGTTCCCCCCAGAAGTCATTGTGTGAATCATTTTTTGTTGATAACAGCCTTGAGAGCTGTGCCTCATCAGCAGTCATGTCACTAATTATGATCTGGATTTAGGTTTGTATACGTTTTTTCCTGCCCTTGTCCATTAACAGTATTGTGCATTGTACTTTGCTATTGAAGTATTTAGAATGATTGAGGCTAGAAAAGGGATGTTTTCTAAGTCTTTAGCTATATGAAAATACGTGGGGAAAGGAACTTGAGGGGAGAGAGGGTAGGTAGTTAACTAAAACTCTGGAAGAAAGCTCTAAACTGTTGTTTCTATTTGCAAACCTGCTCTGTGTGCCATGCTGAGCTATATGGTGTGCACTGCACGGCAGGTTCAGACTTTCATTTTGGAAGCCTGGGGAATCAGATGGGAGCTATTGCAGTACACCTCCTGAATCTGCCAAAATTTTCAGTATGTTAGCTTCATTTCTGCAAGTGCGAAACAGTAGCTCTGTTTGCGTATGGAGCAGTAAAGGGAGGCCTGGCAGGGAAATGGCAGGAGGTTGCATGCTACTGTGGAGAAGAAAGCAAGTGTAATTGTGAGCTTTGCAAAAGTCAGTTTATATTGCTTGATGTATTGGAAAAGCTTTTTAAAATATGATTTTCAGAGCATCCAAAAAGTGGCAAATTATCAATTAAAAATTTGTGAACCTAATACCTTTAGAAAAATTTTAGGCTAATGGTTTTATGACACAAAACTCTTTCATCTTTGATCACCTCCAGTTTATGTCTGGGGAAGATCTACAAGAAGTAAAAGATGATATTTCATTCAGCTGTTACTTATAGTGAAGCCAATTAAAAATGCTCTGTGACCCTTTGAATTTGAACCTGAACCTGGAAGGTGGGATGCCTGTACTACTGCACCACAGCTCGAGGTTGTACAGTCCTCTGTGTTCCTCTGTTAAAGCAGGGCTGGGGCTGTGTGGTGCAAGCCAGCAGGCATGGCTTCTGTGAGAGGTCTGTGCGGGCACAGCCAGAGAGGGACAGTCATCTGATAACTGCCTTTGTCTTTAAAGCTTCATACTGGCTATTAAGACTGTAACCTAACACTCAAAAGAAAAGTGTCCTGAATTTCTTGTAGTTGGTGGTTTTCCTTTTGTATTCATTGTGCTCTCCTGCTTCTACTTATCGTGCATGCTCCTCGGGAAGACTTCTGCTTTATATCCCCTTCTTTCCCCAGCCTGTGTGACTGTGTTCATTCACCGCTGCAATGGTAAGCTGAAATCTAGGAGGTGGACACATGAGTGTGCTCTCGAGGCCCTTAGTTAACACCAGCCATAGGGAAAACTTTGCAAAGCATCTTGAAGGAAAGTATAGGCTTACATTTATCAGAAGAGAGTGTTCTTTTGAGCACAATTAGTGGAATTTGTTCTGCAGAGCAACATTTTTAATCCCCGTGGTAATGTGTCTCCAGTAAGACTTCCTGATTCTGCTGAGTTCGTCCATTGTGTTTAAATGTAAACATGGAACTAATAGTTCTTTGCTTTTAATTGTCTGGTTTCCTTTTTACTAACTTGTGTAAGAGTTGCATGTTGAGTGCAGGTGACAAGGAGAGTTTTGTAAACTCTCCAGAGCAACAAATAACTTTAGTTTTCTCTGATCCTCAGTGGTGGTAATATCCTCCTGCCTTTTAGAAATTAGTTTATTAAACTTTTGATTAAAAGTCACTTTTTTCTAAGTTATTTGTATTTTCACTGACTACTTTAAGCCCAACGCTATAGCTTCCATCATAAGAATCCTGGTAACCCCCACACCTGTCTCCCCAGGTTGTTTCGTCTTTGCGTGATCTAATGGGATCATCTTGAATTTTCAGCTTCATTTTTTTTATTTCCTTAGGGAATTTGCAATGCACTTGATGCAAAACACATCAGAACTCTGTAAAATATCAGAATTGCTCTCCTCTTGAGCAGTTTCCAAACATTATAGGTCTTGATGATAACTATTAATGTAGAGCTTGATCTTTGATCTTGTGTCTTTGAGAACTGCTGCCTTGCTTAGACAGCATTTAAGTGGTAGTGGCTGGTTCAGTACTGAAGCTAGCTTGCAGTCTGCTAATATATTCATAATATCACTCTTATGGTCCTTAATTGTTTAAAAATTACATAGTATTTGAAACATATCTTGCTCAGATAACAGAAAGCAAGTAGCAATTTTCTTAATATATACATTCCCTCTAATATCCCTGGGGTTCTGTACTATCTGGTTTTGCCCTTGGATTGCAACAAGGTGGTCAACGTGCTTTTTTGAGGGACATTTTTAGTTGACTCACAATATGTCAGTGCCACTACTTGCATACCCACCTCACCCCTGACAATCTCTGTGGAAAGAGGAATTCTAGGAGTACGTTGCTGCTGATGGAAGCTGCCTTTGGCCATATCTCTGCTGAGCATCAGCTGAGGTGGAGGAAGAGGGGGGAAGAAGTGGTGGAAAACAGGGCTGGAGCTCTTGAGAGTTGTGTTGTTCCTGGAATTTGCTGCCTAGGATTTACAAGAACAGGGTCATCTTCATTAAATAGACTGACTTGTTTCCTGCAACACCCTTTATGTTAAAACTTGGGCTTTTATTTTTTTATGGGGCATTCTGAAAATTCTGGAAAATGGTTTTAATTGACTTTCTCTTGTGGTTTAGATGCATGTAATACTTGGCAGTTCATTCTCTTCTAAACAGCATTGATCTGGTAGTAATTGTTACTGGCTTTTATGTGTTGCCCAAGAGTCCTCTTTCACAGGGTCTAATACGTACAGTAACAGACTTTGAGTACACTATGCCAGAACTTGCATAGCATTTGAATGCTTTTGTTGCTCACTGTCATACAGCATTTCAGGAACAGCGTGGAAATGGGACCATATTTTCCCTCTTTATCTGAGAACAAGTAGAGTTGGAGCATTTGGAACAGATTGCATGGAAGGTTATGTCACAGTGATGCATTAAAGCTCTTTGGGTTTTTTTCTTTGCAGGAGCTGAAGGCTCTGGTGGCCCAGCACAATGTGAGTGCTTCTCAGCAACCTGGCAGCTCCCGCACCTATCCCCCAGGCAGTCTCCCCTCCAGCCAAAGCCAGCGCAAGTACCACTTGGAAAAGGTTTTTGTGGTGTCTCAGACTGGGAACTGCAGAGTAATGGCATACTGTGACTCGCTGAGTTGTCTCGTAGTATCACAGCCTTCTCCACAGTCTACTTTTATTCCTGGTAATTAAGCAAGTTAAGATTTGAGGGTTTATAGGTGAAGGTAAAATGTGTTTTCTGCTTGCTCCCTGCTCTCCATTTCTCTGCTTGACCTCTGCATGTGCCTTGTAAACTGGGAATACTTGTAAGACTCCCTGCAGTACATCTGGCCCCTGCACTGGTCGCTTCTGCTTAGCGAGGTACCTTCTTTCCCCTGTCACTTCTATGGCAGAATTCTAGCAGAGGGTCTCTGGCTCTTCTGCTGAAGTGCCACATCCACAAGAAGATAAAAGGTGTGTCTGGTACCCCTTGCAAAGGTGAGTCTTCTGAAATAACAAGGGGCCAGCACACTGGGGGCCTGCAGAGAAGCTTCCAGTGCTTGGGTGAGAAATATTACCCCAAACTGCAGGTGGATTGATCCACGTGCTGCTGATTTGTCAGTACTCTTTTAAAAAAAAAAAAAAAAAGCAGGGGGGTAGGCAAAAACCCTTCTGAATATGACTGATAGGAGCACTGTTTCTCAGTGAGGAAATAGGAAGCCAAGCAGTCATGGGCAGCCTTGTTTTTGTCTCACTTGTAGGGGCAGGGGTAAGTGACCTGACATTTGGACCAGCACCAACTTGCTTTTTCAATGAAATAGATGTAGCATTAGGAGTCTGAGAGAGTTTATTTGCAAAGTACTTCAATGCCTACTGAATGATGAAGCTTACTTTATTTGGTTAATGGTTTTGAGATTAATATGCCTTATCTAGGCATAACAAAATTGTTTTCTGCATTCCACTGACCTTATTTTTCTGGCTTTTGGAGCCAGGGAATGAATCTCTGAATGGAGGCTTTGTGGCAATTCTTGTAGCACACAGGCTAAGTTCACCTGTAACCATTCTTTGCAATGACACTTGTTCTCTTAAATAGCCATGTAATCCTACTGTGTGTGTTTTTATCTAGGCAAGAATGTCTTTGAAGAAACTGTCTAAAGAGCAGCAGGCTATTGTAACAAGAATTGTAACACTGATACTGAGTTTGCTCTTTCTGGCTGGGATCCTTAAGGATTTAGGCCTGTTGCCTTTTGAACTAAAGAATGATTTGTGGCAGTTCTTCTCCAGAACAGCAAATAACTTTTACATGTTCACCCCACCACAGGCTTCAGAACAGACATAGTTCTGGCATTGAATTCCTGGTTCTACACATATGCTGCTTTGTGATAACCTGCTTTATCCTTACTCTGCGACAGGTTGTGGTGTTAAGATGATGAGTGTGGCCAACCTGAAGAGCAGTCAGTACATTCCCATCCATAGTAAACAGATTCGGGGACTGGCTTTTGGCAGCCGAGCAGATGGCTTGCTGCTCTCTGCTGCTCTGGACAACACTCTCAAACTTACCAGGTGAGCCCTGTCCCAGCAGAGTTTTGCTTATGTGCAAGGAGCCCTGTCCCAGCAGAGTTTTGCTTATGTGCAAGAGAGTGGATTGGATTTTTTTTCTGTCTTGCTAGAAATGTCTTGCAGCAACTGCTATTCTGTTTTCTAAAATATGTTGCTAAAATGAGATCAGGTGTATTCTCCCTGCACGTGAGAACTAAAAGACTTGTTCATGCTTTTGGATCTTTTAGGTGGAGGTGTTATGGAGCCAGCTGTCTGTGATGCTTTTCCCAGTGGAAAACAAGGAATTCAACACAGATTGGCCAAGTTGTCTTGACAACAAACATAGCTTAATGTATAGATGTGAAATTTACTGTTCACTTAGTTTTCTGTTACTGCAGGGAAGTGTGAAGCATGGAAACTTGTATGGCATAAAACAGAAATGAGGGGTGTTTAGGCTGGGTGCTTTCTTCCCTGAGCTAACCCTTCCATAGGCTTCTCTGACTTTAAACTTCTTGCAGAGCATGGGGTTCATCTGGGACATGGAAGGCCTAGACAGCACTGTTGAGCTCATGCTAGAGGAGCATGGGTTCTCTAGAGCTAGCAGAGGCTTAAAGCAGCAGGTTGGAGACTAATTATGCAGAGGCTGAGAAAAATGCATCCAGTCCTGTTAGAATTTACAACCTATGACTGGTTTTTTGCTACTCTGCTGCTCTTCAATCCTAAACTTAAGCTGCTTCAGAACTTTGTTGGCTGATTGATTCTTACTGAGTTCTATTAACATCTTTACGCACATCTGCCTGTCAGTATAGGGTTAGGCAGGGTATGTGCCTGTTATGACTGATTAGTCCCAATTCTTTCCCATGAGCAAAGCAATGAAGAGAACTTAATCCTGCAACAAAAATGTAAAGAATGTTGCTTTCTTCTTACCATGTTGAAATGTTTGCTAGACTAGTTAAAAGTAAACAAAACTGTCTGTCTCCTATGCTAAAGTCAGCATGTCAGATTTCTAACCGATGAGGTTGGTATTCTTTTTCTGGTTTAATCTGAAGAGTGGCTTCTCATTGCGGTATCTCCTTAGACGTTTGACTCCCCTATCTGACTCCCGCTGCCTTTTCTGCATCAGAACTTGAGATCCTCTTGCTGTTGTGCTTGATCCCAGAATGTCCTGGGGTTAAGTGCTTGCTTCAGCAGCATCCTTGTACTTTTTTCAGTCTCCCTCTGAAATAAAAGTTCCCCTTTGGTCATCTTTCCTCTCTACTTATGATTTCATAGTCATCCTACCAAAAGGAATTGTGCTAGATGTCCTTAAGTCTCCTGTTCTGGCTTGCAGGAGTTTACAATAGCACCATGACTTTGGGTTTTTTTTCCTGTTGTTTTGAACCAGTCGCTGTTCTGATATCAAACTCCGTTTCCCCAGACAGATTCATCTTTGTGGTTGTTCCTCTTGTACTTACCTGGGAGCAATGACTTGCTTCTATGGAGTTCTGAACATAATCACCTCCCCTGGGGAGAAACCCATGTGTTTCAAAGGATGTCCAGAGTGACTTTGACATGTGCTGTCTTCTAGCTCACACTGTTCTCAATGTGCTGAGCTTCTGCTGACAGCACTGCCCACTGCAAGTATGTTCTATCGGACACCAACTTTATCTGCTATTCTGGATTGTGCCCCTCTGTACTCCCCTCTTCTTTATTCCACAAATTGTTTCTAAAAAATTAACACTTTTAATTGTCTTTACCCCGCTCACTGTCCCATTCTTGCTTAAACTGGATTCTTTTGAGGCATAAACACTGTTACTC